GATGATTTACTATAGAAATCACGTTGGTCAGTACGTGGGAGGGATAGCTGTCCAGCCGTTAAACGTCTATACCTGTCAGCTCTTTGAGGGGACACGCCCATCGCGAAATCGATTTATGACGTAAATGAGACACATTCCCTTAGCACAACCAGCAGAACAATACAACTCCTGCAGTGACTTCGTAATCAACCAATGAGATGAGATGTCTGCCTGTTCAATCTCACAATTCAGTGTTAATTAGATGTAAAGCGATAACAATTAATCAGTCAGTCAGTTCATAGACAACGCCATGTGATTACTAGAAAAAACTGCGTTTGACGTATTACAAACTCTATATATTATATAAGCTAAAAACACTACCCTGCAACCGCTATTCATTACATGCTGATGCATTTAATGTCTTATAACACTTATACTGTAAAATGTAGACATACAAATGCTCATTTTATCCAAGGTTAAAGACATCATCTTACCATTCTTACTCTGTAAATGCTCATACAAAATAACCCGCACATCCCATTTACTCTGTATGCTTACACAAAAAAAGTATAAAAAGGCAATACGCCCCTGTAGAGGTGCAGAATACTATATATCATATTTAATTATTACATTCTTCACAGCCAAACTACACAGAAGAGTTCATAATAAGGGCCATTTAAAATATGTAAAGCAAATGCCCCAAATAAATGTAATAAAAACATATGACAAAACGGTTTTCGGTGGCTATGGTAAATTTTATATTTGGAACAAATCAACAGTTTTCAGTTTGTCTGTATAGATATAGCCATAGCATACCGTAGGGTAAAAGGTTATAGATATTGTAGAAATTTACTATTTCATTAAAAAATAAAAGAAGGTTTCGTATTTCAGTAAATAAAATTGATCCATTTGGAAACAGGCAGAGAACACTTGTTACTATATAGAATTAGACTTTTCGCCACCTGATGTTTCCACATTCCGGGACCTAGCATCATACAATATGGCACTTTGATGAAATATCGCGAAATATGACGTCGGTTTAATCAGTGCTTTTTAATAATTCATGTGGAGAAATTGACAAGAGTCAATGGTGTCTTGGTGTTCTTAATCAGTAATGAACAAATCATAAACTGTACAACCATACATTTTAGCGGCAGGTGCCTGAATTTCTAATTAGCAAATATGTCTTTCCTTTCCAACTGAGGAGAAACGGTTAATTCTCGCTTGATTCACCGAACCTCTTTGGAATACAAGTACCAAGATTTTACCTAAACCAATTGTATCTTCCAAACAACATCTCAATAATAAATCTGCTGAGCCCATTGTAATATTTGGGATCTTCATTTTTCTTTCTACTTCTAACTACCTTTTTATTTCCTAACGCCTTCCTTGGCAACACCTCATTTTTGGCTTGAATGTTGAGCGTTCAGCCAGGTAAGGAAGGCAATGGGTTCTGTCCCCAAGCCAGAACATACCAAAGTCCTTAAAAAAGGTAGTTGTTATTTACTGCCTGATGTTCAGCATTAAGGGAATGGCAACAACTGGTTCCACCCGTTGTCAGTATAATTTGACCGGGCGGAATGTTGTGCGTGGTCCTTCGGAATGGCATTCCAGTGAAATAGCACTATGAAATCGGCATCAGATCCGCACCATCACAAGGAGGCAAGCACACGTCCTTAAATTATCTTAACTGTTAATAGGACATTAAGCAAAATTAAATCTAACCTAATCAATAATCGTTATAAATGCGGTATTCATTCTAAAACAAACTAATATCGTACTTTGTTCTGTTTGAAATTCTCCCTACCGTACTCTATTGCGTGCATACCCTAACTTAACCTGTTTCGTTTTATCCAAAGCCAACTGTGAAAAGAAATATCTCATTAGATTTATATATTATGATAATTATAATTTTTCTAAATTGAAGTAATAAGCATGTGTTATGTACAGGCCTCGCTGAAAATCCCGGGTATTGCGCTATTTTGGTCGTAGCAATTATATCATCGGCTTTCACGAAAGATGAAACTAACCATACATGACGTAAATTTCACGTAATGTCATTATCAACTACGTAAAATGTCGTAATGAGATATATATATTTTAAGAATCTAATCGATTTCAAGTGTGTTTGACTAAATAACCCCTTTAACAGCCGATACACAACCGGCTGAAGCCCAGTTTTTCCTTTTACGATAACAGTTATTGGTCATGGTTTTACGTCCTCGCAACAGTCAAGGTCATGAAAACTGTGTCCACGGAATTGCGTTTATGTGCATAATCACAACCTTGAAACTATCATGCGAGACTTTTAACTGATCACATCGTAAGGATAAAGGTCAACCAGTGGTACTTGCATGTCCCAATAATATGGGACACCTTCTTTATATGATTCTATCATCTTGAAAAAGTTCGTTTTGATTGTACAGGGTTTAACGTCCTTTTAACTATTCATTCATGTTTATTGATGCATATGACCATGGTGGTATCCATCTTTATTGGTACGCATGCGTGTATGCGTCATTTTACACTTTTATTGTTATTTATGTGTATTATGTTATGTTTATAATTATTTGTACATATGGCAACGTTTCTATTATATGGCATATTTATTAGTGGACATAGTATACAAGTGGAAACAGTCGTTTTGTTTATTGTATATTGGGTGTAACGTCCTCCAAACAGCCAGTGACTTATGAGGATAGGTAACAAAAAAGGAAGCATTGCCTAAGTGTTGTAATCGGGGAACAGATTGATTTGTTCCATATTGTCTTGGTAGCAGACACTGAGGAAAATCCCCGATTCTGCAAGGGGCCACCCACACAATAGTCGCCTTTTACGATTCTTGGCTAACAGACGACAAGAAAGAAACAACCCCCAACTCTGCAGGGGATCCCACATTCGCCCCGAACCTGACTGGGTTGTGCGACGAGTAGATTTACAGTACCATGAACATACTAGTACGAGGACACATAGTAGGACTAACATGTAACTGGTTATCAGTAGTGGTCAGATCAACAACGTAAGAGACATGTGTATAGCAATATGTGATAGTGTTGTATGAATGACCTGCCCCCGGGCAAACCAAACACAATGGGTGAGGACATATAATCAGTAAATTTTATCAGGTTTAACCTCGATTTACATTTTCCGAATCAAAGCTACTGGCATCAATAGGGTAAAGCTCATTTCCGAATACAATTTATGGTGGTCTCCCCAACATTTATACAGGTGTCGGTTTGTTCAATTTAAAGTTATTATGACTCATAAAATGCGCATAGATATTGAAATATGCATACATTCCGGCCTCCTAATTGATAATGTGAATTTCTGGATGTTAGGTTTAATTTCCTTGATGAGGTAAGAACGATTGAATGGATACTGAACTAAAAGAAATAATTATAGTTCGTATTATTATTTCAAATACAGTTTAAAATTGCAAATATTAACTGCTTTCGAAGGAATCTGATCAGATTATATCGAATAAATATTTGTCAATATAATTCAGCAATGGAAAACACTACCATGTATGCCTAATGGTAAGCAAACCCATTTATATGTGCATATATTTGCATTGATTCAGCATGCCCAAGAATAATTTGAACATAAATTCATTACGTGGAACGTTTTTGTTGTAAATAACAACTTGTGTTTGAAGTAAGGAGTTATATGTGTTGTGTGCTACTCTCTGGAATAATGTACTACTTTTTTATTTTCTACTTTTTAGTGTCATTTCGTTACCTAAGTCTTACGATTGACTCAATGGGTGAATTGACTTAACACATACACCCCTCCATATTTGAACTGGACTGGCCCAGGCAGTGATTTGGTAAATGGAATAATAGTAACACTTACTCAAATACTCATCCTTTATAGTTTTTTGGTATACCACATGCATAGTTTGTAATTGTATGTATACCTACTCTTCACTTAGTCATAAACGTAGCGTAATTGATTATTATACGTACTGTACATTACGTTATGAGTTAGAAATGCCTCATGTAAAGATCATATTATATATGTATTTCCTATACATATGAGATAACCTTCACCATTTTACGTACTCTAATCAATTATTTACATATATTCCAGATATATTTTACATTACGCGTGTACTTCGAAGGTTCTTCACCACTTGACGCATATTTCAGATATAATAGTAAATATCCGGTATAATGCACTATCATATGTATATTTTAGACATGCTTTAATGATACAGATATACTATAGGGACAAAACGTTGTACGCAGACTTATGGTATAATGCACCGGTATTCGCATAACTTAATGACATACCTTTGATACTTATATATCAAGTAAAATTCATTCCACCCAAGATTTAATTCTCCAACATGAGTATACATGTTTCATTTTAACAACATTAACAATTAGAATGTAGAAAGTATTATATACAAGTAAGGAATTATTATTATACATATTTCGCGTGTAAAAAGTTAAGACATGATTCACCATACAACATTCAAGTTATAAAATTGTACACATTAATTTACCCGATAAAATTCGCAATTATACATATAAAGATACATATTTACATTATTCATTCATTACAATAACCATATTAATGACATTAAGTCTGCTAGCATTTCAGAATTAGCCTTCATATCCATCCGTGTATTAGTTCAGGTAAATGCCTTATTTTAGTACACATACATGTATATGTATCTGCTTTACATGCATATTGCTGTTATTATTAGTAGTACATTTATGTACCTGGCATAAGTACAATATATACAATGTACAATGTATTTCAATACACATGTATACCTTAGTTTAGTACAGCATAAAGCATAGATAAGTACATACCATAATACCTTTAATTGTTTTAAACATATAACCTAACATTAATCACCGATATGGTCAGAGAACCGTTTTACCATACACATATAGCAGAATACGCAAACTATTCACAAAATATTGTATGAAAGTAATTTAATATATCTAACACATGTATGAAACAGGAATGAAAAAAAAATGAAAATCAATATTAAGATGGTTTTCACTTACCAGATCCTGATCTGACGGACTTGCAAAACTCCACGAGGTCTCGGTATTTCTAGATGTTGACGGAATAACACAAGAGGTGGAATGCCGAGGCTTAGAATCTGAATCGTCGTCGAAACGTTTTACCCAAGCTGGTGTCTCCATCATTTGGTCCATGCTATCCTAGTCATATACAAAAATGAATCTCTTCCATTCTTGAACATTTTTGCAGCAATGTTGATTCAAACATGTCTTCAATAGATTTGGTAAACATCCGTCTTCTGTATATCGAACCACGGGTCATAACATAATAGGTGTAATCCCCGTTGTCATCAGACAAATCGTACGCCATCAGCAAATATGTAGCGACATAGATCGAATGTAAACCCTAATCATAACGGCTCTCTCAAATCACTTCCAACGTAAGTAGTTATGAATAGATGTTTGATGAAACTGTAACTTTTCCGCTCACCTCCACTGACGGGAATCTAGGATAGCATTTCATTACTTTGTCTCTCTTTACCTTAGCATGGTCAACCATTCAGACTTACATACCTAGCAGCATTGTCTCTCTTAACGGATTTAGTCATGCAGAACAAGCCAGGCCCGAAACGTGCGATAGAGCTAATTAACCTTCAGGGCATAAACGACAACGCTCCGTGACGGTATATCTGTACAGGTAAACGTTGTATTTACCCAGCGGCTAGAAGGCGTTAATCGTAAAAAAAACACGTGTCACCTGTTCTATTAACAGTCATAGCTCATCAATGGTGATCATACAACTTTGGATTTTATGAACAATAGCAAGCTATATACTAATTGATACAAGTGAAACTGCAGTACACACAGTTATGAAATGAATCTAGTATAACTCTTCATGTTGTAGGAAATACCTGTAGTCTCGTTTTTAGTTCTACTGTTTAAAATTCCTACCTAAATGGGAAAAATCAGTAGGTAGGTAGAAGTGTAAAGATCCCGAATATTGAAATGGGAGCAGCAGATACATTTTGGTCGATTTTATTCAAATCCCCAATTCTGCAGAGGGTTCCCACAGTAGTCGCTTTTACAATACATGCAGTGGGTAACATCTTTCGATCCCCGCTATCTTCTGAAGTGTATCTTTAAAATAAGCAAATAGAGAAAGTTTAATTGTTTATTTCTAACGGCTTTTGAGATATGCCCATGAAATAATGGATTTGTCATTGCTGGCATACTGTTGCTGTGGCAATAGGAAAAATATCAAAAATTGAAAACATCACCATAGTAAAAGGGTTAGGGTTAGTATTATTTATGCCTTTCTTGAGTTGGTCCCGGTCCATCAACACAGCGGAGGGTTTTACGGCCAACACAAATTAGATAAAACACGCAAGTTATGACATCAAACAAACTAAAAGATAAAAAGACAAATGTAAATTAAAATGCAATTTTTTTAATTTATATCTTATTGAACAGACCAACAGTTTTCAGGTAGGTTAGAATTGTTGTGATATTTACCGTTTCCAGAAATATAGGATATTTGTTTTATTACTATACAAGAGATCTCATAGGGATCTTGGTGCCCACCATTGTATCGTCTTCATTGGTTCTTTGCCAGTTAGATATTTGCTCTTCTTTTATCTAATCTGCTTAATCAAGTCAGGCTAACATGAGTAAATGCACTTTCAGGTAACTTTTGATCTTAACCTAATACTAGTATTGCTGTGTGTAAAAGATAGCCTTCAAAGTGAGTTTCTCGTTTCACATATTTACTACTAGTAGTTAATGTAAAAGACATAGAACAGGTTATCACTATATGATAAGTAAAATACTTCATGCAGCCATCTTGTATAACCACTCTCAAAAAAATAAATGCACAACTCAGGATCAAATTTTGAGAAAGATCCCTCAAGTACTTCATGAGCAATAGTACTAACAAACCTTAAATGTCTAATTCCAAGATGGCCGACTGTTGAACATTTTGTTTATCTGATCCGTTTCAAAAGGAAACATGAACAACTACAGTCAAAAGGAAACCTACATAAACAACTATAGTCAACAGGAAACCTACATAACAAATTTGAGAAAGACCCTCAAGTACTTACTGAAAAATAGCGATAACAAACCTTCATTGTCAATGAAGGTATAGCTGCCTGTCGGCCATTTGGTGTATCCGATCAGTCTAAAAACTAAACATGCACAACGAGGTTTCAAATGGTACCATCCTATCAAATTTAAGAAAAACAACTCAAGGACTTTCTGAGAAATAGCGATCACTAGAGTTGTTTAAGGACGGACGAAGGGCGATTTGAATAGCCCTACAGTATAATAACAAGTGCTTTCCTGTAAATGGTTCTTGACATCCTACACATTGTGGTTGATCATCGCGTTTAAACAAATAAGAATATGTTATGTAAAAATTATCCATCTGGAGACGGGCAAGGACCACCTCGAGGTGTCTCGGCGGTTGTCCCTATAACTGGGATTGTACCATTCCGTGATTTCGGGTTTAACAGAGTACAATGTGTTGACTACGCATTGCTTTCAAATATTTTTCCACTTTAATATTTCCAAATTTGCTATTAAAGGTTTAAAATCTTCATAAAATGTAGTTAAAAACCAACAGGTGGTAGCAATAAAGCCGCTTTGATGGCGCTATCTGCCTTTTCATTACCTGGTATTCCCAAATGTCCGGGAACCCAGCATTATGTAATTTGACATTTGGAGCTACCACTATGAAATATTCTTCAAAATATTGCAAATGCTCTGTACGGAGTCAGAATAGACCACTGTCTTCGGTACATCATTGTCTTTAATTTGTCCAAGGGTGAAGTAGATAGCAAGCATCTTTTGCAACCATGGCTGCGTCGACTTTATGATAATATTAAACATTTTGGTTATTACATCTCGAGTGGTGTTCGAAATATTCTTTGGTAACGACAAGTTGTACATGTCTTGCTATATGTTGTTGTGGTTACAGGAAAAAATATCAAAAATGAAAATACCCTTATAGCACAAGACCTTACTATACAACTTGATTCCTTTCAGTATACTTTTCTCATTTTGAGGTAGCCCTATCACAGAGACGAAGACATACACAGGCAAACACGAGGGTTATCTAAACAAATGGTTTATATATAGAAAGATTATTGTGTAGTGGAGTCAAATACCCGTCCCGTACTTCAGGTAAAGGAACAGGTTATATTCTATAGAGACGAATATCACGACTTTTATACACACTGTAAGATATCAATGACCACTACTACTGGAAAGGTCTCTGTCACCTAACAACAAGTGCTGTACAAATGTAAACAAAAGAAGAAATGTACCATCTTGGGTTGCGCCACAGACTTCCTATGACACAAAATATTTTCATTTTACGAAGAAAATGTAACACGCTTACGGAGTAACTATTCATAATAGGGTTTAGCTGTAGATATTTGTTCTGCACATTCTGGGGAACTTTCTAATCTGTTGCCTGCGAAATGGCGTCATGATAGGATATATATTGTGGAATATCTTGTCGCCAAAAGTCAAACAGTTACCCGGGAAATCTAATTCCAAATGGCAAATGTGTGAGAATTTGAGCGTCGTTTTGGTGACCCGAAAAACCACTGTAAATAAACCCTAAATTACCTTCATTGTCAACAACATTAATGGTATGTATACAATGAGCATCTATAGTCCCTGTAATAAAGTGCTTGGGGTTCAACTTCCGGTCTGTATACATGATGGGATGTTCTCTCGATTGCCTACCGCATCAGGAAGATCGGACGAATTACCCGCATATCCTCCCACTCTTATCGACCGGGCCACACAACGCGGTAAGCAAACACGTCCCACATGACAGCACGCAAGACAATGAGCTCTCGCCCGACGGGTGTTGTTGTTGTTGTTGAAACTTCATAAAGAAGAGAAGAAAAATTAAGCGATGGCTATGACCTTAGACATACGAGTAGCATCATGACACGATTACGTGGTGATAAAATATGTTCATGGTTATTTCCCTTATATAGTCTCGGTGAGCTTGGACGAAAGTGACGTCCTCACGTTCAATGATCAAGATTTGGAAGACAACGGAGAGAAACGAATGGATGACAGATATAAGAAGGCCGAACAGAAAGATTATGTAAAAAGTCACTAATTCCTCTGAAAACAACATTAGCTTCATTGCTGGGAAACTAATGACTTTGGAATTGGTATAATAAAGAGTGCAACCTCCAACTTTACAAACTTCGTTTCTTTCGTTGGTCCTTTAAGCAGTTTTTTGGACCTTAACCTATATTTTCTACAATGAACTTATCTAAGGCTAAATTTTTGGTATGATTCTCAGGGGCCTGTTCGTTTATGCGAAACAACCGGTTTGACCGTTTATACATGTAACAATTTCGGGTATAAATCCTGGCGGCCCTGCAAATGTTTTTGCAGGCATTGCAAGGCTTTGTCAAGGCTCGCCTGAAAGCAGCATCAGATTACTAGGGCCGACCTTATTTGATAAACGAACAACTGTCGTCCGACCGGTTTGACCGTTTAAACGAAAACAGCCCTAGATAAATACCCTAGTGTAGAGTACATGGAATATTACGTTTTCTCAAAAAGATGATACTATCAGTATCTATGTACAAGATGTCATCTTGTAAAAGATCCATATGCTCATACAAATGCAGTCTTGCCCAACTTTTTGGGAAAGTGGCAATGAACAAATTCGTAAAATTATCTTCTTTCAGATAATCTTTTCCAAGACTACATTGTAATTATATAGAATTATTATTTATGATATGAAAATCATGAATGATACGAGTGTCACTGGTTACAAATTCTTTGAATTTATGTATATCATTACATGTAAAGAATATTATTTGTGGAAATTATTTTCTCTGTGCAAATTTACCCCAAACAAAATTGAGCATTAATTTTGAGAAATTTCTTAAACCAGGGTTTTGTACAACAATTTTTAATAAAACACCTTCATTGCCTATATATTCTTGTGTGTACTTTTCTGTTTCCAATTCAGTAAGACATGTCTCAAACCAACCACTGGCTTCTTGTTTGAATTTTAAAAACGTGTCTATATAATTCTGTAAACTAGAAAATGTCTGTAAGACATGAATGCCCCCGTCGCTATGTGAAATTAGATTCAATGTTTCATGATCTATAAATAGTTAATACCAAATGGCTCAAGGGACGGGACGGACATGGGCACCACTATATGCCCCCCCCCCCCTCCATTGTATGGCGGTTTGGTTTGGTTTAATTTTGTTTAACGTCCTATTAACAGCTAAGAACATGCCTCCATGTGTTTAGAGTATGCGTGCTTGCATGTGTGTATGCATGAGACAGGGTATGTTGGTTGTGCTTGCCTCCTTGTGATAGTGCGGATCTAGGCCCCCCAGCACAGCATCCCACCCGGTCACATTATACATTATATACGGGTGAACCAGTTGTTGCCATTCTCCTTAATGCTGAACGTTAAGCAGGGAAGTGTCAGATGTTTTATCGAAATGATACACTACATTGTTAGATGAATTTTTCCAACGAATTGCTTTAAAAGCTTTAAGAATACACCAATTTCCTAAGAAAGACCCGTC